CTCTAATGAAAAAAATTTTTTTCTGCTGGGCGAGCTTACATGCAGCCTGAGAGATTAAGGTCTTAAGACATTACAAGGCCATGGACAGAAGCGGGAAGGTTTCGGGTGAGGGGTGTTGGGTGGGTGGGTCGGTGGAGGGTGTTGGACACCTGCCTGCCTCCTCCAGCGGGCTGCAGAAAAGCCCCTTCCCACAATATTCCTGCCCCCACACCGGGTCTTTGTTCCCTCATTTTCAAAATAACATACTGGACTACATAATCTCTTTCCTTTTTTAATTGAGGTAAAATTCACATAACATAAAATTAACCGTTTCGCATGCCAACTATAAATGAAAACGAAAACTCATTGAATTGTACAACGTAAATACAAGCAACTAATTGTCTAAGAAAAAATTAACCGTTTTACAGTGTCTAATTCAGTGGCATTTAGTATTTCACCATATTATGCAACCACTGCTTTGATCTATTTCCAAAAGATTGTGTCGCCCCCAGAGGGAGACCCCCTACCCATTAAGCTGGATTAGCATAATCTTTTAAAGACCTTTCAAGTATATAATTCTATGGCTCCAAAATAGGGAACCCATTCGACTCTGTAAAAACACCCCCCGGACTGCAAAGATATTACGATTACCCCATAAATGCAGAACATCTAGATATCGCCCTAGCAAACGTAACGGGGGCTGGACGACCGGGACTGCCCGGGCCAGCGACTGCCCGGCTGGTCCTCACACAGCTCGACAGCTGGAAGCATCCACGGCTGGTCCAGTCGGGGGTCCACGGAGTCGCCTCCCCGGCAGTGGACGCCCAGAAGTGATTTGCACACGCGCCTCTGGCTCCTGGACAAGACGTGGGATTTACACTTTTAGTTTGTCATCTTCTGGAAAATCACTGGTTGTTTTTTTCATCTCTACCAGGGAAGGGTCATACTTTTCCTATGCATGCAGATTCCTGGCCCGAGGGGTATTTTCCTGGTCACCCTCATCAGTGGTGGGGTGGAGTGGGAGGTCATGCTCTTAGAGTCGCCAGCCTTAGCTTGGGAAAATGGCCTATTTGCGCCGTCTCACCTCTCCAGTGAGAGAATTGGTTGCGAACGATGGATGTCTAATGTTTTTGGACCATTACATTCTTTGTTCAAAGATCTAATATTGAAGCCTAATGGGTACCACGGGTGAGGTCGGAGGTGCTGTGGGTGACGAGGGCTCCGAGCCCATCCCACTTCTATGAGGAGGCTCAGTGGGCTCCCCAGGTCCCGGAGCACAGCTTGGGAGCCACCCACCCGCCTTAACTCGACAGGCACGCCGAGCTCTGGAGCCGATGTCCACCGAGCTTGGACATCTGTTCACCATCTGCGAATCTCTGCCTTTTTGTTGGCCTCCAGGTAACCAAGGAATGTGAATGTACGTCACAATCAAACTGTCCTCAGACCCCTGCCAAGGTCACGGCTTTGTGTTCCTTTGCTCGCCTGGAGCGCAGCTGTCCCTCACTCCCACGCCTCACCTGCTCACACGGTGTGCATCTCCGCAGGTCCCGTCCGAGTTCCCGGAGTGTCTTCCACGCGCTCCATTCCGCACGGCGATTACGAGACTCGATGAAGGGCGGTGGGGACTCGCGGCTCCAACGTTGTAGTTGAATTTGCTGTTTCTCTCTCGCGAGACTCGGAACATAAACACCTTGAACTTGTGAGTAGTGTTTAGAACTGCAAATAAGTTCCGCTTCCTCATTTTCGTTTTCAAGCTACGTGCCCTTCCAGGGAATCAAACCTATTACAGCTTTACCAGCAAAATGGGCATCTCGACCCTTTTGGGGAGACGAACCGCATGGGTATAAACGTGCATCTTTGTGGTCGTGCATCAGAATAGCTGATTTCACTGCCATTGGACCTTAGAAAGTCCCTCCGCAACTGAGCATTCCATCATGGTGGACCTTAGATAGGACCCGAACTTGCATGTGGCCGACGCCACCAATAATGAATCCCGGCGACCTAAATGGGAAATAATTTTAAACCAGACAAAACACCTCGTGTTGTATTTATACTGAGAGATTCCATTGGTGGAATAAAAATCTGAATAAATGAAACAGCCATGGGTTGATGGTTTCGGGGGAAGCTGGTGGCATGCGGACACCTAACATTGCAATTGGAAAGAAGCTCTGTGGGCTCTAAAACCCTTGATCTGAGACTGCCATGCACAGTGCCCGCTACTTGTCACAGCTCCTTGCAGACACAGCTGCAGAATCATATCAGCTCACAGCCCACGGGTCAGAGGGGCAAGTCCCTACCCGACCTCGCTGGAGGGAGGGGGTCTTGCCCTGAGCTGTCTGGCTGGCGGTGGCCCCCTTCTCCTGACTTCTCACCTAGTGCTTTTGAAACACCAGCAGCAGCTCCATGGTTCATTAAATTGGACTGAAGCTCTGACGGCTTGCGAAGCAAATTCTTTTTTAACAGCTGTTATAAAGGTCTCATTGCACAAGCGTAATCTAGCAAAACCGTTAAGCCCCACTCACTCCCCAGGTGCTTGGACTTCCAAGGGCGGTGAAAAGTGATGGTCGACTCCAGGCATATTTGGAGAACACATGGAAGTTTCCAGAAAAGACAATGGCATCTCACAAGGGACAGTGTGCTGTCATGCTCCAGAGCCCAGCTCATTTGTGCTCTAATCCCCGCTCTGCCGCCCACCAGCTGGAGAGCCGGGAGTAGCCGCTCAGCCTCTGTGTGCCTCAGTTTCCTCGTCTGTATGTAGGGAAGTACACGGGCCCCACTTCGGGGGGTGGTAACGAGTTAGTTGATGCAAAGCACTTAGAACAGTGCTTGCCGTTTATTCATTCAGTAGCTACCATGTGCCAGGAACTGTACCTACAGAAATACACAAGATAGGCAGAAATCCCTGCCCTCAGATTTGACATGGGAGCGGGGACATATGGTGGACAATAAATAAGGTTATTAGCCCTAGAGTTATCAGGTCAGGCCTTTGCCAACGAGTCACCCGTTTGCCAGCATTTGGGCGCATTCTTCTCATGGGCCTTTGATTGTGGGGTGACACTTCACCACTCTGGTATTCTGCCAACCAGCAGCCATCGGCACACACGATGTACTGCCAACGACACTCGATGTCCAGGACGTGTCCCTCCAGCCTGTGCGCGGCCCCGCTCGCCTCCCGATGGAAGGGCCGTGTATTTTGCATTGTTAGTGAACTGGGTCGAAGTTTAGTCAATCAGAAGTTACGCAAGGACTTGTTATGGCTGCTGAGGGTCAGAGGCCTCCAGCATTCATCCACGGCTAGCCCTTCAATCATTATCTCCCCGGGGTTTATCGCGGGGAGCTGGCCCAAAGCGTAACTGGCCGTGGCCGTGAGCCAGCGGCCTGCCCCTGACGTCAGAGACAAGCCTCCCAGGTGGGTCCAAGGGGCAGGACCGTTCTCCTCGGCGAGGTTTAAAGCCAGGAGGTTCTGCCACCAAAACACCACACGTGGACGTCCCTCTGAGAAAGCTCACTCGCCAGAGGGAAGAGCCCCGAAGAAAGCCTTGGCTCCCTCATCGACATCATCCAGAGAGAAGAAAGATAGGTAGAGCTTTTGAATTTACGTTTCTAAAAATTACCTCGATAGCGCAAACTCATCTTGACTGTCTGAGGCGTGTCACCCAAACAAAGTAGGTCAAGTTCGTTCGAGGGCTTCCTTGTTTTCGCTCAGGAAGCCCGTGCTGTCTCTTTCAGGTAACCTGGGCAGCCGTGCTCCTCAACGTGATCCCACGGAAATGCCTCCTCAGCTGCAAAACGGCCCCGGCTTCTCCGGCAAAGTCGTCCGGGGCTCCCTGGACAGTCTGCCCCCGGCGGTGAGAGAGTTCGTGGAGAGCAGCGCCAAGCTGTGCCAGCCCAAGGACATCCACATCTGCGATGGCTCGGAGGAAGAGAACCGGCAGCTGCTGGAGCTCATGGAGGCGCAAGGGACGCTCAAGAGGCTGAAGAAGTATGACAACTGGTAAGAGTGGCCTCCAGCCCCAGCAGCTCCCGGTCCCCTGCCGACGTGGTGCTGATGAAGACCTCTCGGGAGGTGGGGGGTGGCCAGCTCTAGAAAAACTTAACCAGCTGGCCAGAGCCATATAGAATTTAATGACAGTTGTAGGGCCCAGGCCTTCGGTGAGGTGGCACGTACAAACCAATGCTCTTCGCAGACTCTGTTCCTGATGAAAACGGAAGTCGGACCGTCCCTGTCCGCAGAGAGGAGCTCACGGTCTAGTAAATGTGTCCTGACCACGTCCCAGCGGGTGTGGCTGTCCACATCTATAGAACGTTGTCAGCGTGCTCGGCACCTTCACGGTGTGGCCAGGACACAATAACGAATCGACCGGTCCATTCCTGAGTGACGCCTGGCTGAGGCAGTCCAGCCGCTGCTGCCAGGCAAGACAGCAGCGCCTCCCTCCCCTCCCTAACCTGTGTGCTTTTGATTTTTGCAGCTGGCTGGCGCTCACCGACCCCAGGGACGTGGCCAGAATTGAGAGCAAGACGGTCATCGTTACCCAAGAGCAAAGAGATGCAGTGCCCATCCCCAAAAGTGGCCTCAGCCAGCTGGGTTGCTGGATGTCCGAGGAGGACTTTGAGAAAGCCTTCAGTGTCCGGTTTCCAGGCTGCATGAAAGGTAAACAGAACGTGTACTTGATTGGGCAGAATGTCAACAAGCCTTTTTTAATGTCCAGCCTAGCGGAATGGTAGCGGAATGGAAACCTCCATTCTCAGGGGTCTTTACGCTCCATGTGTGAACTTGGCAATGTATGGGACACGAGCCCCTCCTCAGTTTGGGTTTCGCAGACCGTCTCATGGGAACGTGAAAACTCTCTACACGTGTAGATGTAGGAGAGTCTGGCGGAACTCGACGGCACATTTACGAAAGCCCTTTCGTTGAGGCGTCCTGTTCGCTTTCCAGTGGACCCCTATAAACCGGGGGGCTGGTGGCAAGTAGGGCGCGACGTTTTGAGAGGGCACCATGAAAACGAGCCCACCTAGGGAAACGGTCGGTCAGTTGTGAGGGTGAGGTCGTTTCTCAGCTGCTCCCCCTGACTGGCCCTCCAGGTCGCACCATGTACGTCACCCCATTCAGCATGGGGCCCCTGGGCTCGCCTCTGTCAAAGATCGGCATCGAGCTGACCGATTCTCCGTACGTGGTGGCCAGCATGCGCATCATGACGCGAATGGGCACGCCCGTCCTGGAGGCTCTGGGTGAGGGGGACTTCGTCAAGTGCCTCCACTCCGTGGGCTGCCCTTTGCCTTTGAAACGTAAGCACGCTCCTTCAAAATCAAATCCAGAATTTTAAAAAGTAAGCTTCACCCGTCTTCCGGGGACCCCTGGAGGGGGTCATGCCACACTAACGCGGCATGTGCCCCCCTGTGCAGAGCCTCTGGTGAACGGCTGGGCCTGTAACCCCGAGCTGACGCTCATCGCCCACCTGCCCGACCGCAGAGAGATCATCTCCTTTGGGAGCGGGTACGGCGGGAACTCGCTCCTTGGGAAGAAGTGCTTTGCCCTGAGGATGGCCGGCCGGCTGGCCAAGGAGGAGGGGTGGCTGGCAGAGCACATGCTGGTAAGATGCAGGGACTTCTTCCTGAGCGTGCCAGGTGGAGGCCGGGGCTGGGGCGGGGCGCGGGCAAGTACACACGACGTCACCGTGTCCATCGGCCAAGGCCCAACGCGTCCCAAGGACAGATTTGGAAATTCCGTCCATAATGATTAACACTCTCGTGGACGCCCCTTCTGAAGGGCCTCCAACGCCATCAGACCAGCAGAGAGCCTTTGGACCTCATTATCCTAAATATCTGTTTGGGTACCTGAAGACACAGAGGTTGGGGAGCCAGCCTTAGGGGGCTTCGGGGCACACGGTGGGCTGACGCGCTGAGGAACCGGTTCTGGCTAAGAAAGGGAGGCGGAGCTTCAGGCGGGGATTTGTCTCCTCCAGATCCTGGGCGTGACCAACCCCGAGGGCCGGAAGAAGTACTTTGCCGCGGCCTTCCCCAGCGCCTGCGGGAAGACCAACCTGGCCATGATGAACCCCACGCTGCCGGGGTGGAAAGTAGAGTGTGTGGGTGACGACATCGCCTGGATGAAATTCGACCAGCAAGGTGACTCTTTTAGGCCCAACCGTTGCTGATGATAACTGGACCTAAGTGAACGTGCCGACTTCTCCCCGAGTGCACACTTTGGATTTGTAATTCGGTTATTTCAGATCGTGCGACGTCTTCAACAGATGTGTTCTGTGTCGCGTTCTTTCTAATACCAAATCTGGATTGAAACGGGGCCCTGCGCGGCTGTTTGTTTACATAATAAATGTGTTAAAATAGTTTTGGTAGGACACTGATGATGAGGAAGAACGAGTTGTAAATCTAATGCTTGGGTGAGAAGAGAGAAATATATTCTAAGGAGGAGAAAGAAAAAGACTTGAGAATTTGGTACAGAATTGAGCGCGTCAGGATACCAGAGAACACATCATGCTTTGCTCGGCGTTCATTTCCACCTGTTCGATTTCAAACTTTCCAGGTAACTTAAGGGCTATCAACCCCGAAAATGGATTTTTTGGTGTCGCTCCTGGGACCTCCGTGAAGACAAACCCCAACGCCATCGAAACCATCCGGAAGAACACTATCTTCACCAACGTGGCTGAGACCAGTGACGGGGGCGTTTACTGGGAAGGCATTGACGAGCCGCTGGCCGCAGGCATCAGCCTCACTTCGTGGAAGAAGAAGGAGTGGACCCCCGAGGATGGTGAGCCCCCTCGGGAGGGCCTGCTGCTCCAGCCTGTGGAGGCCGCCCGTGCCGGCCAGACGCTAAGGCGCCTCTCCGCTCTCGCTGTTTGTAGGGGAACCTTGCGCCCACCCCAACTCGCGGTTCTGCACCCCGGCCAGCCAGTGCCCCATCATCGACCCCGCCTGGGAGGCTCCAGAAGGCGTGCCCATCGAGGGCATCATCTTCGGAGGGCGTCGCCCTAATGGTGAGGCCCTCCCCCACCTGGGGAGGGGGGCTCTGTGAGGTCCTCCGTTTCTGTGATCCTCCCAGAGGTGCCAAGCAGCCCAAGCCCCCTTTCCTCACACCCAGGACAATTGGCGAGCTCGGACGTAGGACCCCCGCTTCTGGCCACCCAGAGCCTTTCTGGACCCTTGATCTAGTGTTGCCTTAACCATCTTCCTCCCGGCTGCGTGTCCTCGGTGGCGTAACTTTGACAATTTTCTGCCCTTCAGCTCTAGGAAAACAAAATTAGCAGAATTAGAAACATGCCTTCTGGCCACGTCTTTCCATTTTGTGGGATGACATCATCGGCTGAAGGGTCTGGGTATCCAAGCCCTTAAGGAATGTTTCTTTTTTCCTGCTAAAGGTGTCCCTCTTGTCTACGAAGCCCTCAGCTGGCAGCACGGGGTGTTCGTGGGGGCGGCCATGAGATCAGAGGCCACGGCGGCCGCCGAACACAAAGGTACACATCTAAGTCAAAGTCTGAAACTACAGAGAAGCGTGACTGGCGTTCCCTCTGCCTCTGTGTGTCTGTGTGTCTGTCTGTCTCTCTTTCTCTCTCTCTCTGTAGAGAGAAAGAGAAGACCAAGCATGCCTATGTCAACAGTAAACACACCACCATCGTTCTGTGAGCGCCATTTACTAACAGAGCCCCACTCTGTTAACAGGCAAAGTCATCATGCATGACCCCTTCGCCATGAGGCCTTTCTTTGGCTACAACTTTGGCAAATACCTGGCCCACTGGCTCAGCATGGCCCAGCACCCGGCAGCCAAGCTGCCCAAGATCTTCCACGTCAACTGGTTCCGGAAGGACAAGGAGGGCAAGTTCCTCTGGCCGGGGTTTGGCGAGAATGTCAGGGTCCTGGAGTGGATGTTTAACCGGATCGACGGGAAAGGTGGTGCCAAGCTCACGGCCATCGGCTACGTCCCGGAGGAGGGGGCCCTGAATCTGAAAGGCCTGGGGGATGTCAACGTGAAGGAGCTCCTGGACGTCTCCAAGGAGTTCTGGGAGGAGGAGGCGGAAGTCACCCAGACGTACCTGGAGGAGCAAGTGAACACCGACCTCCCCTACGAGGTAGAGAGAGAGATCTTGGCTCTGAGGCAGAGAGTCAGCCAGATGGAGTCAGACTCAGGGCTTCACCCTTAAAATCGCCCCCTTTCCAATCCATGAGCTGCCCTGGCAGCAGCGAGAGAGAGTGGCGTCTCCTGAGCTGACACCTCCCACAGCAGCCGCGTGGTGGCCCCACTAATGAGCGCATCCCAGACACACTTCAATAGTTAGATGAGACCACAGAGTTCCTGCTAGTAGCTAATGAGCCTGGGAGGGAAAATCGCAGCACGTCTCCAAAATTCACGAGCCAACGCACATTTGTTCAATCTTAAGGACACTCGGGCATTTAGTCTTTTTTTTTTTTTTTTTTTTTTTTTTTTTTTTTTTTTCGTTTTAGTGGTATCGGTTAGCCGGAATGACACAAAAAATACTTGAGCTGTATACGTGAGTGTGTGTGGTGTATTTGTGCACATGTGTTTATGCGCTGTAATCTAAAATACATTTAATACCTTTGCAAAAATCTTGGGCAAGATTACATACTAGTCGTTGCTAGAAAGGCCGATTGCTTCATTATTAATATGTGTGTTTAAATTATTTTGTATACCACTGTTTCTTACATTTACATAATTTCAAATGTTCCTCTTAACACTTCTTGGAAAATCACGAAATAAACTTTTGTAGAAAAGACGGAGTTGTTTGCTTTTGTTTTTTATTTGAACCACCAGGAAGAGAGGGCTCTTCGATGAAACACCTCGTGATTCAGATCCTCTCCAAAGAACGTGGGGACTTTGGGATCGCCATTAAGGAGGCATGGTTGGGGGGATGGGAGAAGCGGAAAGGCTCTGATGGGGAGGTATGAGCAGAATGTCACCCAGAGATGACATGCAGCCACCCCTAGTTAGTGTCCTTTAATAATCCTATAAACCTTTAAAGGTGGGTCTTTAACTGGAATGGGAGAGTTTAAAATGTGTTTCTTGGTCAAAATTTGTGTCTGGGGGCTGGACCTTCCACAAAAATTACATTGCAGCCAGTTTTGTCAAAAAACTCTTTTTTGAGCAACACTTTTCTCAAAGTCATCCACAGGGGAGGGGAGGACAGAGAAAAGCGCTCTCAGAAGGAGCAGCCAAGGGCGTCTCCGAGGCAAGAGCACTAACTGGGCGCCTTCTGTATACCGAGCTTCCGGTCAATGGGGGGTTCGCGTGGGCCGCCCTTGGTGTGGGCCTGCAGCCCTCGCCTGCTCCTTCTGCTCCCGTGTTTGTTGGGTGCTTGGGAACAACCCAGACAGGCCATGAACTTGACGTGGCACATCAGTGGGGCGAGGACATGGCTACCAGAGTTTTCCTTCCCTTCGAGGAGCTGAGAGCTGGCCTGGCTGTCCCGGCAGAGTGGCCCGTAGGGTGGACTCGATGCCACCGGCTGTTAGTTTAGATCAGCGGCTTTCACACCGAGTTCCTTCCTCTCAGTACATTTGGTGGACACGCACGCTGACTCAGAGACTGGAAGTCTAAGGGACACAAAACAGGAGGCTGCCCACCTGAGGCCGGGCAGGGCAGCGGGGGACCCAGGCCACCTGGCTTCTGCCCTGGTGGCCTCTGAGGCGGTTCCTTGGACCCCTGAGATGGGTTTCCAGGACAGAGTGTGGGCACCATTGTTAAAGCGTGCGCCCCGGGCCGGTCTAGGCCCTCGGCAGGTTCCACCCCTCTGCAGACAGGGAGGGCCATCTCAGAAGTCCTCACGCTCTTGCACGGCGTTGCCCTCCCACCCAGTAGACTTGCGACTGACCGTGTGGCCACCAGGCCCTGGAAGCCTGGGGGACAGCCTAGAGGAGTTGCCTTAAACGGAATAAGGGTTGTCAGGAGCCCTGAATGCTTGCCATTGGCTCCTGCCTCAGTTTCTCCAAACTGTGCCAACCGAGTGTTCTGTCCACCTCCACAGCTGGGTTTCTGAGCTGGCCCCGGTGGCTACAATAATCGGGATGCTACAACGTCATTTTGCGGGGCCGATTTGTAGGAGGCCACGCTGGGGGATGAAAACCTAGTGTCCTGGTTCCTGGTCGGCCCTCCCTGGGGGACCCCAAACCCACACTGGGACCAACGTCTTTGATTAAAACCCAACGCAGGAGTCACTGTGACCCCCGCGGGTTCTGGGGCCACGCTGGAATCGGGGTTAAAGAGCAGAGCACAGTAAATAAAACAGCAAATACTGAATGGGGACAACGACCCTGTCCCCGCGCTCCCCGGGGGCGTCCGGGGACAGTGTGGCAGGCGGGAGGGCAGGACTGGGGTGGCCGGGCCCTCCGTCCTCTGCCCCTTGCTCCTCGGGTGCACCTTAACCCGGAGCCCTGGACTGGGTGCCACGTACATGTTCCTTCCGAGCTTCAAGGCCGCGGGGCCTGGACCCTGCAGGCCCCGTGACCCACCGCCCTGCCAGGTGGCCCTGAGCCCCAGCCGACCTCTGCTTTGTCATCGCCGTTACGGCTGCAGTGACAGGGCACACAGGTGAGGTCATCTGTGGGAAAGGGCTCGAGCCTGCTTTTCCCCGTCTGCCCCCTTCCTTTGCGGGAAGCAGGGGGGTGTTGGGGAGTGGGGAGAGTTAACACCGGCGACCTTGGACACATTCCGGCTCTGCCTCTTGCCACAGCGTCACCTGAAGTGACACTCGTACCTGTGCCATGGGGTCATCCTGGGGCCCGGGGATGAAATCAGAGCCCAGCTCAGCGCAGACCCTGGGCCGGAGGGTCCGGATGTGAGTCGGTCTCCCCAGCAGTGGGGCGAGCCTCCGCCCCCTCGGCCCCTCGGCTGTGACACAGGCGTTAACGATGCGCCTTCTCAGGAGGGCCGTTAAAGAGAGGTCGACGCAGGACAGGGCAAACGCCCCGAGCTGGGGTGCGGGGAAGACCAAGCCCGCACCCGGAGAGGAAGAGGGGCCTTTGGCGGAGGGTGTAGGAAGAATTCAACACGCACGCCGAAGTCAGAGTCAAAAGGAAAACTTATCAGAGACGGGGTCCCGCTCCACAGACAGAGTGCGGTCTCCTCAGAGGCAGAGGGTGAGAGGGACCGTGACACAGAGAGAGACGAGCAGCGAGAGGCCCTGGGAGGGACCCTAAGTGCTCGGGGAGTTCCGTTTACATGTCATTTCCTTCGATAGGGACACACAGTGAGGAAGGGAAGGGTCGGCAGCGTGAGAGGTAAGAATATGGAGAGAGAGAGGCCTGCTGTTGGCCCGCAGCCTCCAATCCACAGGCTCCCCATGGTTTCGGCCATTTAGGGAATGGCTCTGGTGCCTGTTTCCCCTTCACGGGGCGGGGAATGGGCTGTGCGGATCCCAGCACAAACCTCCCTTTGTCCTGCAGGCTCCTCCCGGCCCAGCCCGGCCCGGCCCGGCCCAGGGCTGCTCGGCGTATTGCAGTCTCCACTGCAGTCTGGACTGTGGCTTGATTAACATCTTAATCCTCTCGCCTCCTCCCTACACTAAGATGCGGGTGGGGTGAGGACGGCTCTTCCCGTCTGTTCACTGCCAGTCTTCAGTGTGATTACGTCGATGCAACAACAGAGACAGGGACCTCGCCGCCTCCCCACAGCTGGCCCCACGGTGACCAGCCTGACTCGGGAGCGGCCCTCTGCCTTGTGCAGCCTCCCCCTGGCCCCGCTCCCACTGCCCATTCCGGGGAAAAGCCAGAGAGCATCGCTGACCTGGACAGACCTCCTGTGGGGACCAGGGCCCACGGTCACGGTCGCACAGGTCAAGGTGGGGGAGACCGGCCCGCCTCTCCACTCAGGGCTGACAGCGAGGCGGGGCTGGAGGGGAGAGGCTGGAATCTCCCCCAGGCTGCGGGGTGGGGGGGCCACTGCTCCAGCCCCTGCTGCCCCCACTCATCCATCCCAGGCCCCCGACCTTCCCACACAGCTGACGGCCTCCCAGACGCAGCTCTGGGGTGCCTGCGTGATAGCTGCGCCCCCACCTCCGCCCCGTTGTTAAAGATTTTGAATGTCACTTCCGTCCTCTTCCTCCGCCCAGAACTTCGCTGCAAACTGGGGAGCCGAGCAGGGGGTAAGGGTGCTTCAAACTGAGAAAACCCTGAGTCAACTGACCTCACCCCAAGGGACCGAGATCAAGTCCCCTCTGTGGGGTGAAGGGACCACGATCCAGTTCCCTCCATGGGGTGAAAAGGGGGCTTGAGATGGGGACAAGGGAGTCAGGTAAAGAACGTGACTCTTTTCTGCTTCTCCCAGGTTTTGCCTTGAGTTTTCCTGTTCCGGCTGGAACAGGAAGCTCTGCACAGTGGGGCCCCCGGGAGATGTCCGCCCGCTCCCTGCTTAAGGCCCGGTCCCCAGGACACCGCACAGATGACCTCACGTCAGCCATCACAGAGCTGCTCCCCGCCCGATGCTCCCTGCCACGCGGCCCCCCAGCACCAGGGCACAGCCCAGGGGGGTCTCCGATGCGGCAGAGCCAGGATCTGTGGCCGCCAGGGAGGAGCAGCGCGTGGCATCGGCCCGCAGGGGCGCCGCAGTGGGAGCCAGGACACGTCCACCGGGCGGACACCTGCCGCGTCTCCGTGCTGATGCTCACTTCTGGGGCTCGCTCGTCTGCCACCTGCTCGCACGGCTTGGCCCCCGGTACCGCAGCACGTAAATGTGTGAATCACGCCAGCCCAAACGGCAGAACCTTTCTCCAGGCGAAGCAATTTGCAGCAAAATGTGCTGTAAATATTTGTTCAGCTCAGGAAAATGACTTTAACTGCGTAATTAAACTCGTCGTCAATGCTGCTTCCGGACAAAAGCGACGGGAGAAGCTGGGATCCCAGCTGTCCCTCTGAGTGTGTTGAATGGAGGGGCTGGCTGTTTGTCTGCACAGGCTGTGGGGTGGCCCCCTTCTTTGCTCCGTGCAACGGGGGTTTGGAGAACAGTCAGGGAGGACGGAGGAAGGGGCTCGGTGGCACCCGGAGAGGGAAGAGAGATGCCTCAGACAGAGCTTGCCCCGTGCTCCCCAAATGTTCTAGTGAGCACCACCCCTCACCCCACCCCCCGCCTTGTGGGTAACTGGTAACTTGAGCAAATAATCAAGTGACTGACATAGGAAAAAACTCATAGATT